TTTACGTATTGTTCTTGATTCAAAAGAGAGGTTAATTGAAGATAACACGTTATTTCAATTATTATGGACACTAGCAAGTTTTGTAACGTAAAAGGTAGAAAAACAAGCTTGGGTGATGTCTCGTAGAAAAAGTAGATATATGATACAGTCGAGAGGAAAAGCTCGCTCCGAGTCGATTAGCCCGTCCAATGGAAAATAAAACGTATTAAAATCGACGCGAGTCGCGTGCGCGCGCGTGTTCAAGGGACGACAGTCGTATACGGAGTCTAATTAAATGAAAGGAAGGAAATTAACCGAGAGGAGCGCGCGCGTATGTATTGATGTACGCGTACGATATAATACACAGGCGGCTGTGTGTGTACAAAGCAGCACCGACACGTGCCGTCACGCGGCCAGCCCTTTTTGTGGCGATCACTGCTCTCTCTCTCTCTCTCTCTCCCCCTATCATAATGTACCGGCATTATTGTCATTAGGGGGTGGCCGTCGCAGTGATCGAGCCACTATATATACACCGCGTATTGGACGTCGAAGCGAGGGATGAATCAATTCGGACGAATCAATTGAATGATGTATAATGCGGCTCGTTAAAATCGTCCGCCGTTGCACTACCAATCCCTTTTTTGCTTCGTGACTTCCGTTATTTTGCCTCGAACCCTTTGACCAGCCACTCGCTTCTCTCGAGCTAAACTGGCNGTTCCAAAGACCCATGAAAACTCATATGCCTCAGTCAATAGGCTCACTCGACACGCTGCAACAATAACGCCGCAAAACCAGCTCTCTTCTCCAATGAGAAAAAAAAAAAAAAAAAAAAAAAAAGAAAAGAACAAAAAAAGCAACGACGCACGCAAAGAAAATTCATAATTCACCAGATGAGCCGTAAAACCCCTTTACACGGATCCAGAGCCGCGTTCGCATGCACACACTCGTGTATATATATACTGCACCCACCTCCCACAGCTAGTACACGCCCACGTCAATTTTGCGCGCGTGTATACGTACTCGTTCGCCCGTCGGATATAAAAGGCCGAGCACTCGAAAAATCTAATATCGAACACTCGAGCCCCATCTCCCCGCTGTATGTTCTACCCTTTCCTCCCCCTTCCCCCGTGACCCGTGTAAAACTGCTCGGCTGCCCCAAACCACCACCGGCAGCACGCTACTATTAAATCCGACTTAAAAGCCAGCAGCTCAGCAAGACACTCGTTTAATGAAGCCACAAAAATATTGTGCTTCCGCCCAAGTACTCCACGCACGGCATATATACTCTCGATTTGCCGATCCAATGCTGAGGTGTATATAGGTACTCCTAGGGGGAAGAAAAGTAAAATGTAAGGTCCAGCCCCAAAGTACATTTTTTTTTTTTTTTTTTTTTTTGCAACTCGCACCGACGCACAATGAGAAGAAACGACGCCGCTGTTCATTGTGCGCGCCGGTACCAAGTACTCGAGACTCCATTTTCGCGCAGGCAAATCGAGAGAAAAGCAGCAGATCACTCCATTATACACGCAAGGGAGAAGTCTCGAGTGAGTGTCGGTACGAAGTATATACGGCCTACTTAAGCTCCACTCGACTGCATGTATATACATGGGCGTGCGCCTCTATTAGTCCACATATAGGTGCAAGATTCGACAGAGGAAAAAGCGTAAACCTGCCCGAATGTACTTACTTCCATAGGGTCAAGAGAAAACGCATGCAGGGGTGTCGATTTGGCGCTAGTGTGAGTATAGGTATACGGGGCATCGAAGGCGCATAAGTGCGGGTAAGTAACGCTACCGCGTGTCTCCTTACACAAAAACCCACTTCTGTGCAACGGGCCCCGAAAACACAGTGGTATACATATGCACGCGCGCACAATTGCGAGGAGAAACGATCTCGGCTTCTCTTCCTCTCTCTCTCTCTCTCTCTCTCCAAAAGCAGCCCCTCCATGCATCTGCTTGCGCCACGGGAGGTCGCGTGTGTGTATACGCTTATGGGTATACGAGTGTCGTTCATTCCCGGGAAGAAAAAATCTCCTCTTCGTGGCTGTACCACACCTTCCCTTCCCCTAAAAAGCTCGGTCGGAGAAAAATATATAGAGGCTCCTTTTCTCCCGATGGTTTTTTTTTTCAACCTGGATACACGCGTTTATCCGCTGTAGTGAGAGACGCCCCCTCGACTAATCTGGCTGATTTGGCGCTCGTTTACACACATACACACGCGTGTACGCGATTGTATGCGTCGAATTGTGGTTCTGCTTTTTATTGTCGCGTATACAAGGTATATGTATGTCGCGACCCCCTCCCCCCTCTGAGCCGAGTTTATGGATCCGTAAGTGCTCAATAGGTGTATGTTGTGTCGGTTGTGCGGAGTAATGGGGCACGATGAACTACTTGGTATAATCGTCCGCTCCGATGATATTTTGCGTCGTGCAATGACGTTACCGAAACATCGGTGATTTTTCTCGCGATTCACACCCTCCGGATAACAAAAAATCAACCGTGTTGTTGAAACGTGTGCTCGAAGAGCATTTGAAACCACTCAAATTTTATCCTAGCCCTTTTACAATGAAAAATCTTGATCATTTAAATTGAGGTCGAAAACACCGATGATTGATTTATGAATTTAAAGTTATAAACTTAAATCTCCTGTAACTCTCGAGCGTACCGATATTTTTTACTCCACGCATACGAATATAAAGCTTCGAGTAAAACAATTGTTAAACGCACTTTCGACGGCTTAATTTTCAAGCGGGCACTGTAACTTTCCTCCGATCTGAGTATCACAACCAAAAAACAGGGATTTTGTTACTTTTACGATACGATTGCTGTAAAATTGACCAAAAAATTTGATCATGGCATCTCCCACTACTTTTATACCAATGAAAACGATTGAACGAAAAAAAAAGAGTTGTGATTCAACTTGCAATTACTAATAAATATATAAAAAGTAAGCTCCCAAGCACGCCGGCGTAGCTGGTTTCAAATCCTTTCTCACCGATCTCCAATAGCCCCAATTTTCTCTCGGCACTTTTCTCCCTCTCTCTTTTACATGTACATCCTCGTCTTCCTGCCATCGGCAGCTCTTTAAATCCCATCCGTTTTTCTCTTGAGCTCACCGGGCATTTATTTCAAGGGGGATGAGGGGGGGGATAGCCGCTCATTCGGCATTCGGCGTGCGGATAGGCTCGTTAGCCGAGTTAGATGATACCATTAACGCAAAGGGGCCGGCCAATCGAGTCCTTCGGGCGCTTCAAAAGCCTCGCCCCCCTCCTCCTACCCCCCGAATATCATATACGAATGTACTCTGTGACACATTATACATTCCAGGCCAGCTCTACGTGCATGATTGAGGGCAGGTATATGTTACACGGCTGTACACGTGCATCTCCGTACTTATTTCCCACACCTCGGTTGTCTCTTTTGCCGATTGGTTACCTTTGCGTTTCGGTGCCCTAACAGCTACACGCAAGTTTATCCTCGTATACTTTTATATCTATGCATCGTAGGTACTTTTCGTTATCCAATACACTCCCCCATCTTTCATTGATCCTCGTTTTTTTTTCTCTATCGGACGTGTTTTTCCAAAGAGGCGTTCGTTACAAACTTTCAAACTGTACAACAACAGTCATTGTTTACGTATATTATGTAGTAGCCTTGTACTACTGTTAATTTGTTTTTCATGTGCAAGGTGATAGTACTACGTGGAGCAGTCGCGCACATAAAGTATAAAAATCGACGTGTAAACAACTGACGAATAAAAAAAAAATACGTTAAAAATTACCATTGCGCAAAGTATACGCACTGTACACCACATTGTACACACACACACACACACACACACACACACACACAGAGGGTCATGAATAATTCAGTGTGGCATCTCTTTTTTTCTGGATCCTCGCCTTCTATTTCACGATTCCTCATCCGTGCGTCACTTGGAGGGATTAAGCGTCGAAAAATTTCTTCCCCTTCGCCCTCCGAAAAACACAGCCACTATCCCCGTTGTGGTAGACTCTCGCGTATATTATACGCACGGAGCCTTTTTCCTTCCTTCTCCCCCTCTCACTGGTAGGGTCTTGCATAGAGTATCCATTTACTCGGTCGCACCTAAATGCATCGCGCGCCAGGCGTCACGTGTGTGTGTATGGGCACCTTTGCACGAGGGTGCTCTCGTAATGGGTTCCGTTTAAGGGGATTTTTCGAGGAGAATGGCAGCTCGGGCCAAGAGTTGAGAAGAGAAGGGTAATTAGTGGGCGCCGAAGGAGAAGACGAAAAAAAAGGGGGTTGGTGCGCGTTCAAAGTCCGGTTTGGTTCGTTCGCGCGAGCGCCGGCCAACAAAGGGAGGATATCTTGCTGGGACGCGGATGATTTCTAGCTCCTTGCACGGCACGACTGCTCCTTGCCGTGTGGTTCTTATTTTTTTCATTGCGTAAGTTGCTCAAGCAAAAGTTGCTTATTAGGAATGGATACACTTTGGGGAGAAAATGTTGTATACCATAGTTTAGGACAGATATTAGTATTGTAAGTGAATAAAAAGGGAATACGAGAGTATGGGAATGAAAAGGCAAATTGTGTTATGACTTTTATTTTATTCATTTTGTTATTGTGATACGTACAAAGAGACAAAGTTTATTATTCGATACCCAACGCATGAAAAACATTTTGAAAAGGCTTGGCGCATTATGGTTTTCGTTTGAATGCATAATAATAGTCAAAGCAATTTTTTCCTGTAAACGAGTTAAAGGCAATTAAAGAAATATGCACATGTTTACATGTATAGCCAAGTACAAAGTACACATACAGTTTCGAACAAATTTTTTTAAATTTACTTCAAATGTTTCTTTATTTGATACTTGCGTTAGATTATTTATATCGTTATATCAGTTTTTACATGGTTCATTATTATAAAATTATCCACAGCGCTGATAATAAAAATTGCCGTTTTACAAGTGAAAGGTACAAGATCAAGTTTAATTACACAGTAAATATTATTTGAACATTGACTGGATAGGGGTTATAAAATTACATATCGCGTTTGCTGCCGCTTTTATCCTGATATACCGTGTTGCTTATCTTTCCTGTAAAACAGATTAAAATTTTCGTGGTTTGTTGAAATCGATCAGTTTGCGATTATTCCTTAGGTAATATTTAAAATCACTTGGTTTTTTAAAAACCTTTAGAGGATTTATAACATGGTTCCATGTGTTTTTTCAGTTCATCGGGATGGTCGAAAATTTCTAAACACCATATGCAGGGATGGTTGTGTCTGTAGGTCATATGCATTACAAGATTCATAGGTTGAGTAAAAGATTCTGAACATACGCTGCACGGGTAGTGGTGTTGGGTTCTGATGTGCTTATCAAGACATCCCGGTTGGGGAAAGATTTTCAAACACAAATGACAACGATGATAGTGGCGCACACGTTTATGCGCTTCAAGAGTGTCCAGTCGATCGAAAATTTGTGGACAAAAATGGCACTGATAGCAGTGGTGGGCACGTTTGTGCGTCTCAATAGTTTCCAGTCGATCGAAAATTTGTGGGCAAAAATGGCACTGATAGCAGTTGTGGGCACGTTTGTGCGTCTCAAGAGTTTCCAGTCGATCGAAAATTTGTGGGCAAAAATGGCACTGATAGCAGTTGTGGGCACGTTTGTGCGTCTCAAAAGTATCCAGTTCATCAAACATTTCTAAACACTTTGTACACTTGTAGTATAACTTTTTTTTGTAGCTGGAATTATGTTTATAGTATTCAAACATATTTCTGTATGATCTTTATCGAAATAATGAAGCAAATGTAGTTTTGATTATTTTGTATAGGTTTTAGTAGTTTTCACCGTTTGATTTTTATGCTGATAATGTCAGTACTATCACAAATACCTCAGAGTTATTATCTGCAAACAAAAAATTTACAACGTTAATTACTTTACACAGTAAGTGCTGTAGTGTGTATTTTAATGGTGTATAAAACTATTGAAAGTGATCACTTCGATACGATTTTTTTATTTGTCATTATTAATAAATTCAATTACCTTTAACCGCACCCCTCAAATTTTCTGATACATAAACATAGTAAAAATATAAACCGTAACATGCAAAGAAAAAAAAAAAAAAAAAAATAAA